CCTCCTATGCTGCCGCTGCCTGTGCAGGGGGAAGGATCCTGCTCCGCTGTCTGCAGGCGGCTGGAACGCCGGCAAATGTGGGGGGGCCAGCGCAGGGCAAGGAGGGCAGCACAAACAACAGCTTCACCCACCAGCGCTGCCCTCACCCTCGGGAAAGGTGGCAGCTGCCAGCGCAGCAGCAGGACACGCGCCAAGCCCCCTGCACAAGCACCTCCGGCCAGGGCTGGGACCCTCCCTGAGCCACAGCACGCTGCTGCCAGCCGGCTGCTGCTGGCATCGCACGTTACCACATCCCTGGCCGCGTTTTATGCAGCGTTTGGTCTCGGGAGAGCGTTCGCCTCTGCCCACAGCCCCTGCCTGCACTGGGTTACAGTTTTCTGGGAAATTCTCCACAGCAAAGCTCCCCAAAGCCTCACTTGCTGCTCCCCTCTGGCTCGTGGTGGTCACCGCCTCGCCCTGAAACGGACCCCGCATCCATGGCTGAAATTGGGTGTTTGAGATGCACCATTACGGATTATTGTTATTTTAAAAAAAAGTAATACTGGCCAGCCCTCCCCCCTGACAAACAAGCCTCTGAGGAGCACACACTACCTATCACAGGCCTAACGCTACTCTCACCTCCTCTCCGATACTCCTTGGCCATCCGTGTGGATGCTGACGGACTGGCTCTGGATGAGCAGAACCCTGGCGAAAGCCTGGCTTCTGCCGTGAGCTCTGCCTGCAGAGACCTTGGATTTCAAACGAAGTCTCTGAAGGCTTCAGTCGAGAAGAGGTCTGGGCTCACTCCTCCCAGGGCAGGCTTGCAGCATCCTAATAAACAAGCTTAAACATTCGCTCAAAAGGATGAACAGGTGAGGTGCTGCCTGCGTCCTCCTGTGTTGCACACCTTCCTTAACACTAGAAGTCATCCTTTTAGGGTTAAGTGTGCCAAAACTGCCACGGTCTGCAAGAGACAAAAATGACAGTGCAGAGAAAAGGAGGAGTCCCCGCTTCTACTCTATGCAAAAAGTGCTTTCTGAAAATGCCACCCCCCAACTTCCCCATCCCATTAATACTGCACGCTTCAGCTCAGCAGCAACGGATTCACTTCTCAAACAAGGCATTGGGAAATACCTAAAGCAACCAAGATGTGTGAACTGCTGCAAAATACTTTCCCTCAACCGAGTTCACAAGAGTTAAGCCAGCTGCCTGATGGTCTTTACACGCAACAAAGCATCCTTATTTTTCCATAAAAATCACATCACCTCACTTTCAGTCAAGTTCAGGATTACAACATCAGCTACTTAAAAAAATAAAAATGACCTGTAGTGTTATCCCCCTGAACGCACTCGAGTCAGAGCCGCTGGTGCACAGGCTGCAGTGCCGAGAGGCTGGATTTGGCTGCCCATCTCCCTTAGGATTTTGTTCCTGCAGCTGAGCTTTGTGGCAATGTCCCTTCCAATCCAGCTGTTGAAGCATTAGAGGTTAGTGTTGTGTTAGAGGTATGGGCCACCAGGCCTTGTGTTTTGAAATAGATGATATAAAATACTGGCAGGACAATTCCTATCAGCAGCATGATAAAAACTGCATTCCACCACTGGATTCCACAGTCCGCACCATTACTGGGCTTCCGCTTCCCCAACTCAGGCAGCAGCCTCTCCGGTGCTTCCACGCAACACTCCATGTTCAGCTGGCCCTCTGCCTGCACAGCATCCTGAATGTCCTTGTCGATCCCCTTGAAGTACTCGCTCAGGTGTCTGCCCTCAGCAGAGCCGCTCGCGCCGGTGTCGGGCTCCAGCGAGTCCACGCGTGCCAGGCTGCTCCGGGAGGGCGCAGCTGGGAGCGGCCTCAGTTCGCCGCCGCTCTCCGTGAGCAGCCCGTGGGTCTTCACGGGGATCTTGATGGACTTCAGCGCGTACAAGTCCTGCTCCCGGATGAAGTTGTTGACGCGTTTGATCTCTGCAACCTGCAGAATCCAAAGAGGACACAAATATCAGTGTGGGACAACCCAGTGCTGAAGCAGGAAGCAGCTACACAACCAGTGTGAAAACAGCAGCCAGGAAACAACAGTGAGCCCTGGCTGCAAGTGGCTCAGTGTCCTGCAGAGATTTCCCAGCTGTTCCAGGGATGCTCCAGGTCCTGCACGAACAGTCCCCTATTAAACCAGTCTATAATCTCTACTGCTCTTGTGTCTCTCATAGGCTGTATTTTGTTTAATACTGTTTTTCCTGCCTTTCCCTTTTTTTACCCTTCCCTCACTTACTTTCTAATCCAAGTTTAAGCCCGAAGAGCCTTTGTAACAGATCCTTTCAAGAATAGTTTCCATGCCTTAAACAATGCCTGAGTGTTTGAGGTGAGAGGACAAGGTCAATATGAGCAGGGAAAACCCTCCCTCTGCTTGGAAAGTGAGTTCAGAGTGACCAGAGCTCCATCTTTGGAGCATGCTGCAGTTCTGAAAGCAAGATCACAGCCTGGCAGAGAGCAGGCGAGTCTCTGCCACACAGGCACGAGCACCCTTTGCTCACGTTCCCAAGCACCACGGCAGCTCCACACGGCTCATCGCTGACCCCCCTGCGGAAGGCCCGCTTACGGCGATATCCGCCGTGCGTCTGCGATCACCTCTGGCTGTGGGTGTGCAGGGCCTCCATCTGTGACCAGTGCTCCTACCCAGCTCACTGATTCAGACAGCAGTGAGAAGAGCAAGAAAGCACAGACCAAACGTACAGCGGACGTCACAAGGAGAGCTGGTACCAAAGACAAGACAAAAAGGCAGCGTTTCTTTGTTTAACGTCAAATAAAGAGAAGACAGCTTAATACAGCGAGCATTGACAACCATCTCATAAGCAAGTACATGAACTTCTCAGTTGCCCTAAATCCTCTGTCAAAGGAAACAAACAGCACTGTCAACATGTGCAAAGAGCTCTCCAGAGCAGCCAAGGAGACATGAAAGAATCCCAATGGAACGGCTGGAGGATGTAGAACAAAGAAAACAGCAAGACTCCAAACCAAAGAGAAAGGCAACACGGAACAGGTTAACCACCTCCGGCATGTCACACAGCAGAGACACAGTACGAAGACTGCACCTCCAGAGAAAGTTTGATTTGTTCTTGAAATCTTCCAAATCACTGTCTGAAGTGCATTCACTGCACGCTCACAAACCCAAGGCTGCCAGTGAAACCCGGGAACTAAAACCAAGCAAGTCCTTTACTGCCCAAGCACACGTGCAAGTGCCATCGGCACCGAGGTCACTGACGGTTCAGGGCAAAGATCTTTTCAAAAGATGGAACACCAATGCACTGGGAGGGAGCCTGAACATCTCCTTTGCCATCACAACAAATGCTCAGGGCTGCTTGCAGGTGGTGCTGCTGCCCGGGGCAGGGGGGTACCACCCCAGCAGCCCCGGAAGGGCCAAGGAGGCCGACCTCCCTGCTCCCTGCCCGGCTGCCGGGGGGTG